CAGAACCGTTATGGAATCAATAGGAATCAGGGGGCAACTCTCCACTGGTTAGAGTTGTACCTGGCACATAGAAAGATGGTCATCGTCGTTGGAGGTTAGTCATCTCAGGTCCACGACATCTCTGCAGGAGCTCCTCAGGGTAGTGTCCTAGGCCCAACCATCTTCAGCTGCTTCATCAATGACCTTCCCTCCATCATAAGGTCAGGAGTGGGCGATGTTCGCCAATGATTGCACAATGTTCAGCACCATTAGCGACTTGTCACATACTGGAGCAGTCCATGTCCAAAAGCAACATGATCTGGGCAACATCCAGGCTTGGGCTGACAAGTGGCAAGTAACATAATGCCATCTCCAATAAAAGACAATATAACCACTGCCCAGAGACAACAAGGTACAGAGCTGGATGAACACAGCAGGCCAAGCAGCATCATAGGAGCAGAAAGGCTGACGTTTCGGGCCTAGACCCTTCATTAGAAAAGCTTTTCAGGACTCGCAGGGAGAAACGCTTCTGAAGGATCTCAATGCCATGAGTGTAGATATTGTCACAGTTGGGGCCAAATTGGGAAGGCTTGAATGTGGATTGTAGTCCATTGGGGATGATCTGGTTCCGTAGGTAGGTACTAAGAAAGGTGATGTGGCTGTAGTACCCGGTTTGCTTCAGGACATGGTCGAGCAGTTTCAGGGCCGAAGAGATTATGAAGGAGTTGCAGTGGGAGAGAGATCCCCTGAGGTTTGTCCGGAGGGAGGAGGGTAACTTCTTCACACTGCCCATACTGAATCCCCCACTATCAACAAACTGGGGGTTACTATTGACCAGAAAGTGAACTGTACCAGCCATATTAATACAGTAGCTACAACAGCAGGTCAGAGGCTGGGATTGAGTTATTCGCTGCATCAACTCCTGACTCCCCAAAGCCATTGACAATGCACAAGTCAGGAGTGTGATGGAATATGTCCCACTTGCCCTGGATGGGGGCAGCTCCAACAACACTCAAAGCTCGATATTATCCAGGACAAAGCAGCCCCTGCTCGATTGGCACCACATCCACAAACACCCACTCCCTCCACCACTGACGCTCAGTAACAGCAGTGTGTACCATCTACAAGATACAATGCAGCAACTCACCAAGGCTCCTTAGACAGCACCTTCCAAACCCACGATCGCTACCATGCAAGAAGGACAAGGACAGCAGGTAGATGGGAACACCACTCCCTGCAATCTCCCCTCCAAGCCACTCCACCCATTGTCCTGGCTTTGAAATATATCCGCCGTTCCTTCAATGTTGCTGGGTCAAAATCATGGAAGTCTGTCCCTAACAGCACCAATTGGGTCTACAGACAGCACATGAGCTTCAGTGGCTTAAAAAGGTGACTCACCCCCACCTTCTCAAGGGAATCCAGAGACAGGCAATAAATGCTGACCAGCCAGTGATGCCCACATCCCGTGAGTGAATTGATGCAGTACACACAGTCCCGTCATTTAAGCACATTCCCCATGGTAATGCCACAATCCGAGTCTACTTGCCAACCAATCTTTCTCATGCAGTAAAATTAGTATCTCCTTCAGAGATTGGTATTCTTGCAATTCTGTCCTGATGATTGTGAGACCAGAAGATTCAACAGGATGCCTTTTTTTTCCTGCATCAATGATTAACAGTTTGTGAACTGTTCAAAAGCTAATCCTTGTGGCAGCCCAGTTCGTCCATTACCCTGCTGTCAATTCCTGCAATTTCATTCCAACCTTGTGCATTTCCGTAGCCACCTCTTTAAAGTCCAAAGGTATAGGCCCATCAGGCCTTGAGGAATTGGCAACTTTTGGTCCATCTCGTTTACTAATGGCTTTAGGAGCTACTGGCTTTAAAAAAGCAGGTCATGCAATAAAACTGTGGTTGATAGTCTCCCTCAACTATACCTTCCTGCACTATTCCCAAATACCTCAGTATCTGAAGCAAAACTGTTGATCCGTGACTTGAACATCCTGATGACTGGGCATCCAGAGTTCTCTGCGGCAGGGACCCGTTGAGTGAACTCAGCTCGGACACCTGCCACTGCCAAGGAAGTGAGGACAAACATTGTTCTGTGATTTTCTGAAGAAGGGCCTAGACCCGAAACGTCAGCTTTCCTGCTTCTCTGATGCTGCTTGGCCTGTTGTGTTCATCCAGCTCTACACCTTGTTATCTCAGAATTTCCAGCATTGGCAGTTCCTACTATCTCTGATCCAGTTGATTAGGTTTTGTGTGGGGAACACATGCAGGAGCGGTTGAACATCAATTTGGGTTGTGCCGATAATCCCTAGTGACGTACAGAACCAAATTATTGCCAACGACATACAGCGCTATCGGAAACACAAAGGGTTCTGGATTCATCCTGTTTCCAGGGGTACTCCGTGTGAACCTGAGAAAACATGAATCGCTGCCATTTTCTTTGCAACCGGAAATCAGACATTAACGCTTACCCCACCAGTAAATTCAACGCTCACTAGAGACTAGCAACTGTTTTAAAAAGAGCTCAATTTCACAGAAAGGCAAAGAGTTTCATAGCCAAGTGGTGAAAAGCTGGCCATTTTAGGAATGAACACAGCATCAATATAGTTTATATATTGCAGCAGATTCAGCTGATACAAAATAAGGTGGGAAGGCAAACAGGATTCGAAGGAGCTTATAATAGATTTAGACATGCTGAATGAGAGCACAAGAGCACAGCAGACGGAATATAACGTGGAAAAATGAACAATCCATTCTGGTCAAAATGAAACAGAAATGCCGAGTATTTTTTGAATGGTGAGTGATTGGAAAATTATTGAGGTTCAAGGCAAACTTGTTTGTAAGTCAGTGACATGCAGGGACGGCTTGCATTAGGAGGGAAAATTGTATGTTGGCCTTTACTGAGAGAGGATTTGAGTATCGAAGGAAAGATCTCTTCCTGCAACTGTACAGTACCCTGATTAAATCATACCAAGAGTATCGTTTAATTTGGTCTCCGTATCTAAGGAGGATAGACTTAAACAAAGAGGGAATGCAGCATAAGTTCATGACACGTATCACCAAGATGTCCTGTAAGGTGAGTGGACTTACATTTGCTAGAGTTTAGAAGGATACTTTGCCCCCAGCGAGGGAGAACAGTCTCAAACCAGGAGACACAGTTGCACAATGGAGCACATCAAGGGGCCAAAACAGCCTGCTTTTGTTCCTGAGTCGGAGATGGACACAGCTCCTGCACAGCTACATAGAGTACAGGCAGAATTATACATGGAGCCAGTACATAAAGGGCACAGGTATGGAGATAGATCCTGCAGTTAACACACTGTACCAGAACCAGACAACTTACTTGGCACTGCAACACAGGATTTTAAAATAGGCCACAGCTTCTCTTCAATTGGAACTGAATGTTCTTGGAGGTACAAATGGATATCCTGAGGTCACTATCCTGCTATAACTCCCAACAAGACTAACTCTGAAGCTTTTTATTAAAAAGAGACATTAATAGAAAGGATGAGAAAAATGTACAAATAAATCAAATCCACAGGGAAATAAACAAAATCCTTCAACACTGACAACTGCAAACTAGTTATAATTTGCCAAACACCACTGAATTGCATGACACTAGGTGCAGCATGAGTGAGGAAAGCATGAAGTTTGAGGATTGGTTCTCACTGAGCTGTAAAATATTTACCGTTTGTAAGGACATGGTCGTAAAAACCATTAAATATGATCACAATGTGATAAAACAAACCAGGTAACTGTCCACTCTTAACACAGGCTGTTTTTCTGATGCCATTTCCAATGTGAGAAATGACACAACACCAGGTTATAGTCCAACAAGTTTATTTGAAAACACACACCCAGAAAGAGAACGAAGTCAGGATAAAAATACATATTAGCCTGATAACCTGAATGCAGATATGGCTGTTCACTTAAAGTGGACATAACGTTAAAATCACAGGAGTCTGACACAGCAAACTATTCTACAAAGAGTCATTCAAGCAAGGTTGTACAGTGCCTGATTAAAAATCGGACAAGCATGCCTAGGATTTGTTTTGACGCCAAACATTTTCACACCTGAAGAAGTGAGGCTTCGGAAGCTTATGTTTTCAAATAAACCTGATAGACTATAACCTGGTGTTGTGTGATTTTTTGTCCACCCCAGTCCAACACCAGCACCTCCACATCATGGCACTCCAACGTGTGCAGGTTTGCAGTTGAGGCTTAAAAAATGTTTGTCACTTACATGCAAAAATTCACAATAATTCAGAAGACATTTTAGACATCTCAGACTTGATGTAACAGTCTTACTGATCACCTTCCTAATTCCTCCACACTCCACATAATTATAGTCATCCTCAATTTGGGGACACTGCACAAGGTAATCCCTACAAAGAGTTAAACCGCATCGTGCATACTCCCACCTGTCCTTGCATTATACTGAAGTCAGCACTTACCAAACCGGGAAACAAGCTCAGACTTTTACCAAGCTCAGGTAAAAGGCAACTCCTTTTTTTTGTCTGCACTGCTACATACAGGTGAGTCCACAATAGTTCAGAGTGAACTGTATATTTAATGTGCAAGATCTGAAAAAAGTCAGCTGCATGGTGTCAAGACAAACACTCAGCATCTGGACCTGAAGCAAGAAATGGTGCATTAAATTGAAACTATTTACGCTATCAACCAGACCCCAGAAAGAGAATGGAGTCAGGATAAAAATATTTATCCGCCTGATAACCTGAATACAGATATAGCTGTTCATTTTAAAGCGGACATAATGTTAAAACAACAGGAGCCTGACACAGCAAACTATTCTACAAAGAGTTGTTCAAGCAAGGTTGTGTACTGCCCGATCAAAAATCGGACAAGTGTGCTGCCTCTGGGATTTGTTTTGAAGCCAAACATTTTGACAGCTTTGAAGCTCAATCCCTCAAAAATAAATCCCAAAGTGTTGGTAAGGTGAAAGGAGAAGATAGTGCAAAGCTCAGGCTATTATGAAGAGGCATAGAGCAAAAACAGTTTGCTTTTCTTGGCCTTTTATTGATGTAGATGAATCCACAGAATATGTCCGTTATCTTTACTCCTCACTAATAATACAGTAATTTGAAAACAATATACAGAATAAACATCACAAATGTGGTCAAACCTTCACAGTCAGGCTTGAAGACATGCCTACCACCAGTGCTTCACTCTAAGGGGTCAAATAAAACAACGCTGGGTTCTGCTGGGGAATGGTGGCAAGAGTCAAGGGAAAGCTGCCATTGCCTTGGCCGCAGTGTAAAGAACATCAGATATTGTCAGGCCCGGAAAGGAATTACGCAATGAAATCCAGAGGTCTGTTAAATCCACCTTTTCTGTTCATGTACTGCCTGCACAGGAGAGAAAGAGGAAGAAAAATGATTATGTACTGCTATTTGAGGACAATTCTAATGGCAATTGCTCTATTTAAAAACTAAGGACATTAATCAGTGGGTGCTATCAGAGATCACATAAAAGTTGAAATAATTTATACGGTATTCTTTCCACAGCAATATTGGCATACTGGCTAGCTGAAGGTTTGTTTTAGTCTTCCATAAGATAAGTTAGCATTTGTTACCTATCCCTGATTGCCCATGAACTGAGTGGTTTGCTCAGCCATTTCAGAGGGCAGTCAAGAGTTAACCACATTGTTGTGGGTCAGGAGTCACATGCAGGCCAGTCTGGGTAAGGACAGATTTCCTTCCCTATAGGACATTAAGGTTACTGTATTTATTATGTAGATTTGTCTCATGCGCTGGGAAGGACTTTGTGACACCAAGATGCTGCATCAGTTGTAGAATTGATGATAAAGCAAAGACCCAATATGCTCTGCCTGAAGAACATTCTCCTCACTACTGTGCAGGAATTGAATGCTTAACAGTGATTGCTACAGAAGTAACAGGTTTAGAGGAATGTCAATCCCAGGACAGGGTCTGAAATAGCCACTCTCATTTATCTTAATACTTTGTATAAAGGCTGGGTTTTTGTTTTACCAACTGGGTAGCATGCTGACGGGGAGAACCAATGACTGAATGTGCTTTCAAACTTACTCTGTGCACAAAGGACTGTTAGGTCAAGTGACAACAAACAAACTGCCAAGAAATAATCAATCCCAGTTGCTCCAGAGCCTTATTCGGAACTTCATTAAATTACAGTACTCTGGTTTCTTTTCAAACTGTGCAGGATGGGCATGCATTTCAAGTGTTTAATCACTATTGGGTAGCGGTGATAGGCTCAAACGAAGATGAACAGTGACCCCTGCAGAGTTATATGGAGACATTAAATCTAACTGGGTTTAGTTACAACTTTATAAAGAGTGGTTTAGTCTATGAAAGTTTACAAATTCCTCCAGTTCCTCACCGATATTTCCTCTTCTGTTGTACGTTAACAGCGTAAGCATTAACAGAACCTTCGAGCTTCTTGCCCTGCAAAAGGAAAGTTAGAGCACACATTAGAAGCTGCAGTTTTACATTTCCCGATGTCAGTAGGGATTGAATAGCAACCAACTGCACAGGAGGTGGTCCCAAATTCAAATCAGTTTGCACTGGGATAGCCAAAGCTCCTCACACAGCACCTTCCATAACCCATGGGCAGCAAATACATGGTAATACCATCACCAGCAAGTTTCCCTCCAAGCTACTCACCATCCTGACTTGGAAATATATCACTGTTGCTAGGTCAATATCATGGAATTCCCTCCCTAAGGGCATTGTAGGTCAATCCACAGCAGGTGGACTGTAGTGGTTCAAGAAGGCAGCTCACCACTACCTTCTCATGGGCAACTAGGGACAGGCAATAAATGCTAGTCAACCAGTGACCCACATATCCCACAAATTAACTTAAAAAAAAAGCAAGGCGACCTCTGTGTGGACTACCTCTTCCATTTGTTACTGGACCAGCGCATAGTGCCTCTCACAGTGACACATTCCACATTTCCTACTCACTTGGATTGTGTTGCTGCTTTCTAAACCCTCTCCAGAATGGACTGATCATTCAATCAAGCAGAGCTCAAAACAATCAGCTACCTGACTCACTCCAAGGCTTGGCATCAACTTTGCTGCATGTGTAAAAAAAAACACCAAGATGCCTCACCACAAATTGTCAGTGCTAACTTTTAAAGCCAGGATCACATCGACATTCTGGCAGGAGCTGCCTAACCTTTTTGTAAAGACCTGCTCTACTTGAACAAGGACCAGCAGGAGGCCATTTAGCCAGTTAAATGCATCCTGGCTAATCTGTACCTCAACTCCATCTTCAAAGCCTGGTTTCTGTAGCCCTCAGTGACCTTAGCTACCAAACACCAGAGCTTGCAAAGTTCAACTGAAGGACAAGGGAAATGAGTTGCAAATCACCAACAAATTGCGAGTTAGATTTCTGATTTTAAATTTATTTTTACACTAATAACAAAACACCATTTTATCATTTGGATCCAATTACTGGTGCATTCTGTGGAACAATAGGCAACCTGAAGCGTTTCTGCTTTCCAAGTTGTGGTGGAGAACACAGAGCCATATTTGTTACTTACAAACTGGTACATTTAGTCAAAGTTAGGTACCAGTAAGATACATTACAGCCACCCAGGAAAGCTGCTCATTAGTGAAGTGAAAAGTGATACCAAAGCAGCATTCTCAACTTAGAATTGTGGAAAAAGAAACCCCTGTGAGAAGCATGATGCTGCAAGAGTTGCTGCAAATTGACTGGAATTGACGAAGCTTTCCTGCACATCTGAAAAATACTGCTTTCAAAGAGATAGCGGATGCACTGGTCATAATCTTCCTGGAAGCCTTAGATTCTGGACATGCCCCACAGGATTGGAAAACTGTCAGTGTATAAAAAATTATTTAAAAAGATAAGGAGTCAAACAACAGGTAACTAATAGGCCAGTTAACTTCAGTTATTGGGAAAACGTTAGAGTCTATTATAAATAGCAGAGCATTTAGAAACACATAATATGATCAAGCAGAGTCAGCATGGCTTCACAAAGGGAAATCATACCTGATAAATTTCTTATAATTCTCCAAGGTGGTTAAAAAAAGGCAGGTTAAATAAAGGGAAAGCAGCAGATGTAATGTATTTGGATTTTCAGAAAATGTTTGATAAAGATACCACAAGATGTTTGATAAGGTGGCACACAAGATAAAACAAAACGCTGCGGACGCTGGTGACCTGAAACAAAAGCAGAAATTGCTGACAATACTCAGCAAGCCTGGCAGCACACGTTGGAAGAAAGCAGAGCTAACGTTTCAAGTTCAGTGACTCTATCAGAGCTGTTTGCAGCTAGGAGAATGTGATATTTATGCTGGCCACCGAGATCCATTACAAACCTATCAACTCCCACAGTGACCTCAACTACAAATCCTCACACCCTGCCTCCTGCAACGACTCCATCCCATTCTCCCAGTTTCTCCATCTCTTCTGTCCTGGTGATGCCACTTTCCAGAGGGGGGCTACAGAAATGTCCACCTTTTTCCTGAACTGAGGTTTCCCCAACACCATGGTCAACAGGGTCTTTGCTGTGTTTGACCCACCCCGCTCCCGCTGCCCCCTCCACCCCCCCCCCCCCCCCCCCCACCCCACCCCCAAGGCTTCTGTTCTCATCCCCTCCCTTCCACAACAACAGGGTCTCCCATTCCTCACTTGTCGCCCCACCAACCTCTGCATCCAGCCGCAGAAGGTATAATACCTGTCTGTTTACCTCCTCCCTCCTCACTATCCAAGGCCCCAGACACCTTCCAGGTGAAGCAGCGACTTACCTGCACCTTCACTCAATCTAGTCTATTGTATTCGCTGCAAACAATGTGGTTTCCTCTACATTGAAACATACACTGGGAGACCACTTTGCAGAACACCTGTGTTCTGTCTGTAAAAATGACCCCAAGCTTCCAGTTGCCTGCCACTTCAACACATCACCATGTTCCCACGCCAGCATGTGTCTCGCGCCTGTTGCAGTGCTCCAGCAAGCCTCAGGACAACATCTTACTTTCCACTTGGGACTCAAGGTCGAGTTCAATAACTTCAGAGCCTGATTCCATCCTCCCAGGTTTTTTACCCACCCCAGATCCAGTCCTGTTATGACATGGAGATAGCAAGGACTGCAGATGTTGGAAGTCGATAAAACGTGGAGCTGGAGGAGCACAGCAGGTCAGACAGCATCCGAGGAGCAAGAAAGTTCATGTTTCGAACTGGGACCCTTCAGTACAGCTCACCCATTCTCTCCTACTCCTATCATCATTCACTCAGCTTCTCTTCTGTCCTGGGCCTGCTATCCATAATCTCCTTGTTTACCTATCTCTTTCATCTCTCTCTCTCTGGGCTCTCTTTCCACCTAGCTGCTCACAGCTTCCCCTTCTTCCACCCTACCCAACTTTCATCTTCCGCTTAAAAACCACCTTTTCTAAGCTGCTAGCCATTCTTATGAACAGTCACCGGAGTTGAAAACATTTACTCTGCCTTCTTCCCACAGATGCTGTCAGGTCTGCTGAGTTTCACCAACAATTTCTGTTTTTGTACCAAACACAAGGTTACTTAATAAGGTGGTTAACGGTACTGCAGTAGTACACTAGTATATACGGAGGACTGGTTTACTAATAGAAGACAGAGTTGGGGTAAAGGGGACACTTTCAGGATGGCAACCTTTTGTTTGTACAGTGCCACAGGGATCAGTGATTTGACCACAATTATATTATACATTAATGATTTACATGAAGAAAGTGAATATATGATTGCCGCATTTTGGATAACAGAAAAAATAGGTGGGAAGGGGAGTGGTTAAACATGCAGGCATAAACTTGGCAAATGGAATGTAGTGTGGGGTAATGTGAGGTTATGCTCTCTGACAGGAAGAATAGAAGCGCTGAATGTTATTTCAATGGAGGAAGGCAGCGGGAAACTACAGCACAGAGGGACTTAGGAGTTCTTGTTCATAAATCACAAAGATCTAGTTAGCATCTAAGTTCAGTGGGTAAAAGAGAAGGCCAATGGAATGCTGAATGAATATTTCAAAGGTAATGGAATATAAAAATAGAGATGTGCTGCTGAAGCTGTACAAGGCACCAGTCAGACCACAGCTGGAAAACTACAAACAGGTTTGAGTCCCAAATCTAAAGAAAGGCTCAATAGCCTACTTCTGAGTATTTGCCTTATGATCTTACAGTATCAGAGGCAATCCAGAGAACGAGACTGGACCCGGGGAAGGACGGACTGTCTTACAAGAACAGGCGAAAAGACTGGACCTGTATTCACTGGAGTTTCAAAGATTGACTAAAGAGCCTTCTTCTGTGCTGCAAAGCATGAGAGATGACTTTACTGAAACATACAAGATTCTTAGGGGACTTGACAGGGTAGATTTGGAAAGGTTGTTTCCCCTTGTGGGAGAGTCTTGGACAAGAGGGCATAATGTCAGAATATGGGGTTGCACACTTACAACAGAAATGAGGAGGAATTCCTTTTTTCAGATGGTCATGAATCTGTGGAATTCTTTACTATAGAGAACTACAGACTCTCGCTCATTTGGTGTATTCAAGAATGAGACAGACAGATTTTTTAATCTGGAAGGGAATCAAGGGTTATGGGGAACAAGCAGGAAAGTGGAGTTGAGGATGATCAGATCAACCATGATCTCATTGAACGGCAAAGCAGACTCGACGGGCCAAATGGCCTACTTCTGCCCTTATGCCTTATGGCCAAGTGGTCGCACTCTACACTGCTTCACGCAGCAATTTTAATAAGTAAAGCAGTGACACTTTTTTTTAAAAAAAAAAGAGACAACCCTTTAACAGGGGTTTTCCAAACACACACTGCCTGCTGCAATGTACGCAAGGGCTCCAGCCACACCAACACCTTGTTCTGCTTTCATCAAACCAGGCCTCAGCTTAATTTCTTTTACTGATTAACCAGTCAACTTGAACAGCAAAGCAAAGCATCAGATCCACCAGACTTTCTTCAAAAATGGAATTCTTTAGAGTACTAAGGATGCAAAGAAAGATTTGCATTCAGCACCTCGGGATGTGACATTATTTCACAGTTAATTGAATACTTTTAAAGGATAGCCACTGCGGTAATGTAGGAAATATGGCAGCGAATTACCTAACAAGTTCCCACAAACAGCACTGTGGCAATGACCAGATCATCTTTTCTGCTACAGACGTTGACAGTGAGAAGTGACTGACGATGATTCTGGGAGAAGTCGGCTCACTCATCATGACTGAGAAGGGGATTGCGAAGGGCCTCGAGTCATAGAATGTTTCAGGATTTAGATCTTTCAGGCATGATAGAGACGGGTGTAAATGAGGTGGGGAGTTGCTTTACTGATTAAGGAGAATGTCATACCTGCATTAATAGAGGACATTTTGGAGGGCTCATCAGCCCAGATGGGTAGGACACAGGAATAAGAAAGGTGCAATCACTATGATGGGGTTATACCACA